ATCATGTCGTGTACTTTGTTTTCTTGAGCAGTTAAACAATTTAGTAGCTACCATTCTTGATTGCAGCAATAAAGGAATGTTACAAGTGCTCACGGGAAGAAAAATGTATTTATATTAGTCTGTATTTAATACTTCCTACAGTAGGTCTACTGACAGTCTGATTTTATCTATTCTGTCTGAAGATTTGTGTTTTCGATGTTGTGTCTTGAGGTGAGCCTTGAGGCTTTATCCTTTTTTTTCCTTCTGGAGTACAAAGTTTTTATGGCACTTCAGTGGAAATGAGTGCATGCTCACACTGTATTTTTAACTTACTAATAGCATTTTCAATTATGTAATTGTATTTGTTCTTTGTATCCATAAATACATAAATGACTTCAAAATAAATTGTATGACTAATTAATTTTATGCATTTGAATTGAATAGAGTAAGTCAGACTTTTAAATATCTCAGTAGAACAGAAAATCTTTTGGAAACTATGGATGGTTCTACTGGACTCACTGTAGCTTCAATAATAAGTATTTATTTCAAAAGAAGTTTAACCCAAGTAAAGGAAATTTGAAATTTTAAAACTCCATCTTAAGAAATGGAAACCAATGGTTACAGTCGTGGGTTTAACAATTAAGTGCTAACAATCTGAGCACTCCAGTTAGTTCTGTGGCTGTTGATTAGGATTCCATGGTGATTAGTGAGTGTGAGGATGCAATCACATCCGTAGGATTTAATCAGTCCAGTGCTGGATGAGGTAGTCCGAAGATAAGAGAGAAACTAGAACTTCTATATGTAGTATTGTATGGGGGGTTTTCCCCTTGCTGTAAGAAGAAGGACAAAAAGTAGAGAAGCCTACCTTTCCCCTCCTCCCTAAACTTGCAGATTTTTAAACTGTAATATTGACTGTTTAGTTCTGTGATGCGGGAGAATAATATTGTTAACACCTGTGAAGGGGAAAGACAATGCACAGGGATAATCACATAGGCATACTCTCTGATGTTCAGCATTCTTACACTTGTGAGGAGGATTTCTTTTTCCACACTGTGCAACCATGTATCTGGTTTTCCTTTTTGTAAATCTAGGATTTTAAGTGTTTAGCTTGGACGTATACAATATTTTCATGTGTCTTATTTTCTTCTGTTATACATTCTGATTATGTGCTGTCTTTTTAACACTGAAAGCTTGTATCTTAAATGAATAATGTACAATGCCCTCTGCCTTCCTGTGAAGCAGATAAGTGAATGTGTGCACAAACAGAAAACCATTGTCGGTACTGTTGTCTACAAAGGAAAACTCTGAAGGAAAAATTTTTGGATCTCTGCTCTGCACAAAGCTTCTTTGTGATCTTTCTAACTCTGAGTAAAAGTGACCATGTGCTGAATCCTCCTTTAGAACTATCTGCAGCGGTACATTCTTAACTTAGAGGAGAGATGGTGTTGTTATCATCTGGCAGTGTAAGCAGTCCTCCCATTACTGCCCTTCAGTTTACTGCTACTGCTGTCACAACTTTTCTCTCCTCTACTATGTATAGCTCAATTTGTGTAAATAGCATTGCCCACTTCTGTGTAATTTTTTTTTTTGTTACATTATTTTGCATTAGCACCTATGGATCTCTATTTGTCATATATTCATATAACAGAAGGTTGTTCCTACCCTGCAAAGCTTATAATTTAACAGCAGGATTCATGTTTTAAAGCATTGTTTTCTGAGAGCATATTGCGATGCAGATTATGATGTTTGGGTTTAATAGCAGGAGCTGTTCGTTTTATGTATATTTATACAATGTCTAAAAGAATAGGTGTGGGTGAGCTTTGAAGTATTTCAGTGCAACTAGTTAACGACAAGCATTAGTAAGTACTTACATGAACATGTAGAAGGCTTAGGAGATTCTTGTGGCTGTTTCATTTTTATTTAGAATATGGTCTCTAAATGGCTGCAGTACCTTCCTGAACCGAGCATGAGCCTGGAGAGGACAAAACCATAAATTAATTAGGAACATTTAAGGAGTGGGAGAATAAAACATGCCAAATGTTTTAAAAAGGACTAAATATTTCACTGTTCCTGTTAGCTGCCCCCTGCTTCTATGCCTATATTGTGTATTACACAAACTGCTGTACCTCAGGATTCTGGTTTTCCATTTTGTTTATGTTTGGTTCAGTTAACTTTTGCCTCCTAAGGAAGCAAAAAATCAGTGGGACTGTATTAACTTTATTTTATAGATCTCTGAACAAGATTCTGCTGTTGCACTTATGGCTGAAAGGTCCTATAGCCTAGAATATCTAGCAGATATTTTTGAAATAAACTATATAATGTAATACCATATTAGAATCAATAGTAGTGCATCAGTGCAGACAAACAAGCAAGATTTATAGGGAAGAGAAATATCTTTCAGTTAGGCAACTGTTTGTAGCTTAAAAAAGGCCAAAAAACATAAATAAGCTTTTGAACAGACAAGCTCTTCTTGACTAGTGTCACTAATGATAGTGATTTTTCTTGAATAGTGATAATACTAATTACTTTGAAGAGAAAGAGAAGGAAGACAGAAAAAATGCATCTTCTTTGTAGCTGTATTGGTAGTATTTACATCTACAGTTCTTAACTCCAAAACTCATTCACTGTAATGTTAAATCATGGAGTCATAAAAGGCTGTCTGTGAATTTAAGGAGTGACAAGTTTGTAAGTGGAACACAGGTGGACTAAAATAGTGTAGCACCAAGTGTTGATTTCTATTTCATCAAGTTGCAATGACCTGCATAATATAGCCCAGTACCAGTCTGTATTTGAGTGCACAGAACTCCTGCTCCACTCAGCAGTCATTAGCAGTTGAACCACACACACCAGTGTAAATATCATGGCAACAAATTTACATGAGCTACAGCGTTCAGGTGTAATTTTTATTTCTTTCAATCCTACCATAACCATGGAATACTCTAAACTATATGTAGTTCTGTGTTTGCTCTTCACTGTATGCAACACAACACACTGAGGGAGCAGTAGAGTTTGTAAATCCATCTTGAAGGCCAAAGAGATGAGGCCGAATTCACACAAGATTGCCGATCTCATCTCCAGGAGAAAACCCCCAGAATTATAAACAGCATTACTAAATATCCGAGTATCTAAAGTTAATCTAAGTAATCTCAGAGTCCCCAAAGCTGTAGTAGTAATCTGCATTTTTTTCCCCTACTAGCATAAAGAAAATAGTACTTAAGCTAATCTTCTACTCTGGAAAAATAAAACATTAGGTGGAAAGATACTGGCAAAGAAAAGCAAAGTGCACTAGCTTTGCTGTGAAATTTCAGTAATCTTCCTTTTAGCCTTGGCTGCCAGACTGATGGTGAAGAAAAGCTTAAACATCCTCCCTCCCTTGTGCATATTATTACATGCCTCTGAAACTTTTTTCTTCTGCTCTGTTATTCTCCTTCTTTGTGAGCTCTCACAAAAAGAAAGGGAATAGATTATAATAATATTGTAGCACCAACGCTATTGTGTTTGCAGTAGCCTTAGTCCAAGATAACGATTTGATTAGCATGGCTTTTTCACTTACTGGAATTAAAGATACGTGGATTTTCCTGGGATTCTGTGCTTTCAGAATGATTTTTTTTTCACCTTCTTTCCTCATCTGTATGTCTGTGTGAAGAAGGCGGAGGTTTCAAATCGGTACAGAGCCTTCAGTAATAGCCAAGGGCAAAAAATTAGTGCAGTGCGTCATCACAGTCACTCCTGCAATGTCCTATGCAACGCATTTGTTCAAAAGGACCATTGTTCCTTAAATCACTGATGATAGTTCTTCTAAATTTTTTTCCCTGCAATGTAGTTGCTATAAATGAGGTTTGACATTTCCAATTTTGTTATTTGAATGGCCTCAAGGAGGCTTTGAAAAGTTTGACACACAGAATATGAAATACTTAACAAGGTCATTAAAGATAAACTAATAGTTCATAGTGCAGCAAAGAAGCAGAGTGATTTAGTGCATTCTAGCAATCCAAAGACTTTTAATGGTGTTGAATTACATTAAAAAAATTAATTGCTTTGATTGAATTTTTGATAGAGTTATCTTTTTCTAAAACATTTAAACTTTTCCTCCTTTTCTTCTGTAGCTTCTTTTGCTTCTAGCTATATAACACACAGAAGTTGTGTATGTTGGCAGTAGGCATAACAGATAAGCAGAGTTATTCCCTTTGCTAGAGGGTGTAAAATCTTGATCCCGCTGATATTAGTGAGAATTTTGCTCTCAGCCTCAGGACTTGAATCAAAAAAAGCACCCTTTGCTACGGCTGGGTTTGAGTTTTCTAACAGAAACAATTAATTGTGACTACTTAAGAGATCCATATCACACTTGTAATCTTACAGGTGGCTTAAAGGGGAACAAAAGAGATGCTTTTCTGAGTCAATGCAGATATTGCAAAAATGAAGCAAAATCTTTTTGATATAGAACTTTGTTTATTCCCCTTTATGCTTTGGTCCATTTTGCAGCCAGACTGGTGTGGTTCATATATTTGATGTCTGACTTGCAAAATTTTTAATCTTATTAGTAAGAGGAAAAGATAAAATTATTTTTAGCTTATAAAATAGAAGTAGTTTCATTTGTTGCTAGAATTTGTTTGTAGTCTGTTAAACTCTTAATGCTACTAATTTTGTATTTCTAAATGTATATACTTTGATGTGGAAATAATTATTTTTGCACACTCCCCCAACAAAGCAGTATCCAGAGAGAACAAATAATATTCACCTGCATTTCATGTGCCTCTAATCTATATAAATCTTCTAGCTGATGGACTTGTGAAAATAGTTACTTTTTTGTTTTGAATATGTGAATGATTTCCAGGTTATTTCTTTGCTTTGATAATTGCAAAGGAGACTTCAATTTTGTGATCTTGAATTTCAGTTTCACAAATTATATTTATGCTGTTGGTTTATCACAGCAGTGTGTCTTCTCTCTAACACAGACAATAGTAAATACAGCTTTGGCTTGAGGAAAGCTATTCTTTTTTTTTTTTTCTTGGTCTCTGTAGAAATACTGCAACACAGTCCAGCTTGATTCTGGAATAGACTACAGGAAACGAGTGCTTCCAGCTGCTGGAAAACTTTACTACCTGTAAGTTTATCTATGATATTGTATTTGCTCTCTTTTTCCTTCTTATTAGCCAACAGTTTCCTAGTCAATGGGAAATGAAAAATGTATAGTAGAATTAGCAGGGTGTGACTTTTCCTTTTTTTGCCTTCTGGTCCATTTTGTTCAGCAAACCGCCTTCCATTATGCCTTGATATTAACTTCATTAAACTATATTTTCAGTATCCACACTAGCATCATTTATAATGTGTGACTGAATAAAAACTAATTAGATTTTTTGGGGAGGTGTGGTGTTTGGAGAACTGAAGTGACAGATGGTTAGAAAGTAATGAATATCCTCTTGTGAGAGATTGCACAATTCTCTTATAATAGAAGAACATCCTTATTGTATTTAAGTAATTAAGTATTTATAGAAATCCAATGACAAGGATTCATTTAATTTTGGGTGTTTCGAGTGCTGTCGATGAAAAATCCCAACACCCTTCTGTTTTGACAGATTGTTTCTGTTTGTCATGACAAAATTTCTTTAGCTCTTTATATTTGCAAATAAATAATTTTTAAAAGATATTCACAGTTATGCTTATGGTTGCAGCATAAATCTGCCTAATAGGAACATTCTCTCTTTTTTAAAAAAAATACCTTGAAACTTTGCAATACAAACATTTTTCTGTCTTGTATTTGCTCTTGTAGTATTATTCAATCAGTGACAACCTGAACAAAGCAAACAACAATAGCTTAGTATGAGATTTATAACTATTCTAGCTTTCAACCCAGCGTATAATATTGAGCATGCTTCCATGCTTCCATGTGGTATTTTTATCACTGTGATAGGTATTTGAGACCAAGTATGTCCATGTCACTTTATTATAAAGTTAGATATCATAGTTGTTGTAGGAAGGAGGAATAATGCTTAGAAGAGTTACGACAGGTAACTCTTTCTGCTTCTGGAAGGAAATGACAGAATTTTATGTATGGAAAACAGGTCCAGTGCAGGTTCTGTATCCTCAAACAAATTGTGACTGTATGAACTCAAGAAAAGTAGCTCTTGTTCCATATTCTTGTCTGGCTCTACTTTCTCTAAGCTTTGCCATGTCTGCTTTAGAGGTACTTTTTGAAGCCGCCACTGATAGCTCTGATATCACTGATATGCTCATCGTGGCTCTTGTTCCGATTGCTGCCATCCCTGCTCACGGCACTGCTTCCTGTGCCTGCTGCACTCTGTGACTTTGTCTGACAATTGTGGAGAGCACCTGCTGTATTCTTTTCTCAATGTCCATGCTCAGAAGAAAGCAAGAGCACACTGGTGGTTTCTAGCAGGTAATAGGCCTGTGGCAGCAGCTCTCAGTGGAGAAGAAATACAAACAAGTTGCAGGACTGGTACCCAGCTGAAATATGTTTCATGGTGATCTACTGTAAAACTTGTGATCAAGTGAATGGCAGAGATTGGAGATGTCTGTCTTGTATTCTCTTATTGAAAGGATGTGGGTTACCTTCAGAATTTGATGTGTAAATCATTAGGGAGCACTGAGGGGAAAAAATAATTTAAAAAATCCTGTAGCTGCCAATGGAATAAGATTCTTATTTCATCATCCTTTCTTTTTCTGAGGGAATCTCATTCATTCTTCTATTCAGACTTGTTCACTGGAGCTTTCAACACTGCAGAACTAGCTTTGTTTTAAAATTAGGTGCTATGCAGTATTTTGCTACAGATCTTTGAAATTTAGTTAGCAGTCTTGTCCCCAAAAGAAGTTGTTCTTGTCTAACATGTTTTCATTCCTCTATTAAGGGCCATAGTATTATTGTCACATTTTGTTAAGAATCCTCTTGATGCTTCATATTTTGCGTAGTCTTGTCTTCATTTAAAGTGTGCAACTGAGAGTTGCTTAAAGCTGTTTCATACTCATCTGAGAGCCATCAGTGTAGCACCATTACAAGATGCCTGATCAAAGCAACTTCATTGATCTCAGTCTCGGGTGTCTGTTTTCAAAACAAACTTTCTTGGCAATTAGGTGCAACACTCCACCTTGGCATCATATTCAGCTCTTTCTTGTTGTAGCCTTTCCATCGAACTTTTTGATTATGATATGCATGCATATGGACATACTCTCTGATACAGATATATACACTCTTTCCTCCCTTCTATGGTCTTTTTTCTGGTTTTGTCTGTTCATTTTCATTTGTCATTTTGTCAGAGGAAAGCAGCATGCAAATATCAATGTTGAGAGAAACTTGTAGAATTTTATGTCATCTGCTAGTCAGAAACGGTTTTTCAAAGTGTTCTACATTTACAGAAGTTTGTGGGTTTTCTTTTCCCCCAAATTCTTTGTATCTACAAGGCTTGTTATTGTTAAGCTTGAGCTAAAAAGTAGTTATTTCAGTTCTGCTGTTAGTATTTTTAAGGTGCTTAAGGCCTAATAAGGAGAGTAATTGTGTCACTCGCTGATCTTCATTTTTCATATAGAGGGTGCCTAGAACTGTATGAAGCAATAGACCTTCCATACCAAAAGAGACTGTACAAAGGTCAATGAAGCATTATATATCCTAGTTTTAGTTTGTTGTCTACAGTAGCATTAATTTACTGTTCTTAGCTAGAAATATGATCTATCTGGCTGTATCTATCCATCTCTAAGAATGAGACATGGAAAGATTTGCCCTCTAACCCATTCAGTGATAAAAAAAATTCTCTGATTGGACTGAGTTATAATTCTTGTGTCAACCAGAAGATGAATATAAAGTTCAGCTCTCAGCACAGGTATTTTGCATTTTCACCCTCTGTCTTGGGGACAGAGTTTGGGGGGGGAACTGATAAAATTACTGTTACAGAAATTATACTGGTATTTTTAATTTCACAGTTTAATTTTGCAAATTGTTAGATCAATACAATCAGTTGACTTGACCTCGACACCAACCCCTCCCAAAAAAAGAAGAAGGTGCTTCAGCATTTAATTTCACAAAGTCCCCTCTCAGGAATTTCAAAGAATACTTCTTTGGGTGCTTGACTGCCTTGCCTTGTCTATTTGCTCTTATTTTGCATGCAAGATAGAGCCAGAAGCCTTTTTTCTCATTGTGTACACATAGTGTTAATGGATCTGCTCTGTCTGTATTGCCTCATTACTGGAAACAGCTTGAACACAGAAGTCTTTCAGTGTATGCAAATAAGGCAGAATCATCTACCTGAGAGTTAATATTCTCTACTTTTAAGTGTATTCTAAATGTAATGTTTGTATTTAGAGCATAACATCCTGTTCCCTTTTTTTATGGGCAAAAAGCTAAGCAGGCTCAGGCAGCTGTTTGATGTTGGCTTCAAGTGTTATTAATTTCATATTCTATTATTCTTTTCACTGTAGCACAAGTGAAGCTGATGTGGAGGCTGTCATGGATAAGTTGTTTGATGAGCTGGCTCAGAAACAAAATGATTGTACGTAAGTTAATTTCTCTTGAAAGAGAATACATTTAGAACACAATGCCCAATCTCCACTGACCAATTAATAAGTTCCATTGCTGTATATGGGTTGATGCCACACTCAAGTGGCAGTCATTGTATCAGCATTTTGTCTAATTTATGTGTTGAATCATGTGCTATTATTCATGAAGCTATGCATTTCCTATCTGTAAGAGATGAATTTTATAGTAATTATCCAGAGAAGATTGAGTCTTTGTTCATGTTCCCATAGTAACTAGACCAAGGATTCTAAAAGTGCAAGGCAGAGAGCTGAGGCTGAATAAAGCGTGTGGAACCATTGCAGACTTCACGTTTGAAGAGCTATGCGACAGAGTAAGTACCCAGTCCAATCTAGATCAGTTAATGCTCAGACTTTTCACAGTTTAAAAGAAAAAAAGAAAAAAAAAAGAAAAAAGAATCCAAAACACACAAACTCACTATTTTCCCAAGTTGAACTAAATTAAAAAGACTTTTTTTTAACTTGGCAAAAAGATTTTTAATTTAACAGGAAAAAACCTGCACCCTTGGCAAAAGAACAATAATAATTTTCTTTTTAATGATACAGTAAATTCACTCTTAGGTGTATCACAGATTGTCTTCAAAAATCCTACTGCAATATTTACCTGGACTAACATCATTGTTGTTGGTATATTAGTGGTCATAACATATCAGTATGTAAATAGCATTCAAATGCTGCTTTTAAAATCTGGAGTTTAAGTTGATGCTCAAGCAAATGAATAGTGATCCTGGCACCACTACAGTAACACTGTTGTTGCATACCTTAGTTTGAACTATGTGTACAAGGGCTGTTCAGTCCCAGGACTTCTCAAAATATGCCAGATTTTGGTAAATATTGCCAAATTCTCTACTTAAACATGTGGGATGTGATCCCTGGAAAGCTTTGTTTGTATATGACCCCCAGTGGGTTGGAAGACAGTTCCCCAGGAGTTGCACTGTACTTAGTGACCTCTCTACTGATGTATAAAGTTATTGTTAAATGATCACAACCCTAAACTGGGCTGATGGCACTTTTGATTCAGGATGCTGACTAGTCTTTTGGTGATAACATTGTGCTTTCACTTCCTTGTAGCTACCAAGTTGATAACTATTTGGATGGAAATTTCACTGGTTAAGTTTCAGACTGTAGGTTTTAGACTGTTGGTTTTCAGTTTCAGACAAAACCAGTTAGCCATTTGTAAGAATGGAGGTATGTCATGGGTAGAACAGCTTGCTTTTCACTAGAAGGTGTGAGACTTTTTCTTCCTTGTGCCTCTTAAAATATCTGGAAGTGATGCTGTCAGCAGGTACTTTTAAAATCCTTTAGTCTAGTAAATGCCTTATGTACTTAAATGGGATGGTAGGTTGCTTCTAAGTAGAAGTGCTCTGATAGGTCACATGTGAATGGCCACTACTTTGGGTCTGAAGGTTCTGATCCTCTTCAAGTATTATGTGGAGTTCAGGTCTTCTTGGCGTAATGGAGCTGAGGGGCTTGGTTTGCACTCAGAACAAGTAAAGAGAATCCTTATGAAATGTTAAACACTGTTTACCAGCACTGTGCTTACATTGATTGCCCAGGACTTAGGAAGTCATGGTGTCTTGATTTAAATGCCTTCTGCATATGTGTTATGGTAGTCTCTAACAGCACAACCACATGCTTATAACTAAGACAACATGGCAGAAATAAATGTTTTTCTTTAACAGCTTCCTCAGTCATCGCTTATTTTCTTTGTATATGCCTCCATTTTTTTCTACTTTTAGTTGTTACATACAGTTATTTATTGTGCCATGATTTTTCTCTTCAGTTCACTGATGTACCTTCATAAATATTACATTAGTATGTTTGTAAGGGGTATCACTGTGCTCCCTTTATAGGTAGAGAAGTATAGTCATGAACTTGGAATTGTGCATTAAATTTGGAGGCTTGAGTTGCCTCCAGTATGATTTTTTTCATGATCATAACTTTTGTAGTGATTCATAGCAACAGTAGAAAATTCCCCTCGGTATAAGCTGCATTTAGGATCTTGCCTGCCCCATTGCTCTGTTTGACCACCCTGTTGCCATTAAAATCTCCTAAAAGGCAAAAGAAAAAATCAGAATTCAGCTGTCAAACCATGAAACCATGTTCCTTTTTTTTGTGAAGTCTTTAACTTTTTGATGGAAAAACTTAGACATGTAGTGTCTTTTTTAAACCATCAGAGTTGCTCCCACTCATGTCACAGAAGACATAGGTAGGATCCAGAAGAGTGCCCCAGTGGTTTATAGCAAAAAATACCCCAAAGCCAGGAGACATTCCACACAACAGGAAGTATAAAGTCATTCATATATATTCCAGTAAGCTGGAATGGGAAGTGGGAATGATTTGTGGAAGTATAAAGCACAAATCTGTAGGGGACATAGCTACAAGGTATTTGCTCCTTCTTGTTGAAGCCAAATGGTGGGTAAGTCTCAAGGAAGTATTCGTTAAATGGATTGCTATGTTAGTTAACTAACATATAAAAAGAATTATTACTGAAGGTTTGTGGTTGAGTGTAGCATTCTAATAAGCATATTTTTATACTAAGCCAAATAGAATAGTTCTTTTCCCCAGCAGCTTTGAATATATCATAAATGCTAATACAAATTTGCTGTAAATACAGAGTGCTGTGTGTATTGGGGGGAAGAGCCATGAATACAAGGATGCTGTGTGTGATTTATTTCTCATCTGAATGGAGATTTTGGGGAAAGTGGTTTTTTTGGGCAAGAGAGTTTGTTTTGTTTTGCTTTTTTTACATCTAAGCAAACACACAGTTTCCAGGTAGAAATTGGGAACACAAGTCACAAACAGAGGAGGAGACTGTGCCCTAGGCAAAGTGACTTGGAAATAGATTTAAGGATTGTAATGGACAAGCAGCTCAAAAGGAGCTTCTGGTCCAGTGTTAGAGCATTTAGACCTTATTTCGTCTAGGGTGGGTAGAGTGGAAATAAATGGAAGGGTAGGAAGTTTATTTTAATTTTAGAAACATCTCAAATTGATGGCAGAATGTTAGGTGTGGTTTTAGCCTGAAAACTTTAGAAAATACATTGAAAAACCTGACAGGGCTGTTGAAGAAACCACAAATCATTTGAGCTGGAGCATTTGTTCACTCAGATGACAGACTTACAGTTCAGTTTTTTTCAGCTTATCAAAAAGAGGACTGGAAGCTGATTTTATAACATACAGCTATTTTCACAGGGAAAAAAACCCTCAGGTATTAGCAGGATCCTAAATCTAGCAGAAGGCAGCATAATAAAACCCAGAGACTACAGAGAGATCCAAATTAAAAAAAAATAAATAAAAAAGGAAAAGCACCTGTTCACACATTTGAAACAGTGAAGAGAGTGGCAGAGCCTCCTTGTACTGTGTTTCAGGTCAAAACTGGCTGTCATTTTAGGAGGAGGTGTTTGTGTTTGAGCTACATACTAGTTTTTAGGCTTAGCTGTCTCTAAAATGGAGGATCTTGAAGTACCTCACGATCTCCTCTGGTCTTAAATTGTCTTGAAACTAAGGATGTGAGAGTCGGTCCCTGCTGCCCGTTGGAAGCTGTGTCACTGCCCCTGCACATGTGGTGAACAAGTTCAAGCAGCTGTCAGGGGAATGTCCCCAGTCCATCCTGAGGTATAACCTGCTCTCAGCCCCCTCATGCTTTTCAAAGGTAATACTTAGTCTACTATGAATCGTTGCAGTCAGTTCAGACTGAGTTTTTCCAAGGCTTGTAACTTCCTTGGATTCGAGGGGGATTTCACGGGACATATATAGGACATTTCCCTGGTACCAAGCAACCTTTCTTCAGAATTGTGCATGCCTTGGTCTATGTCATGGAAGCGCTAGAACTTCTCATTGAGCTAAAGGAAAGTAATTTGAGGAGCAAATTAGTCAGAAAGTAACTAAGTTACTCTCAGAAATACAGTAATTGACTGAAACTTTTACAAGTAAATTTCCATTCACACAGAGATGCATGTTCATATGAAGTCAGTTTGAGGCATCCATTCAGAATGGGAAAGTTTCAAGATGAAAACTAGTTTTGTCATGGAAGGTGGATGTCAAATCTTGTTTACATGTTTCCCATCTAGTAAATACAAGGTAGTGAGTGTGTGTGTGTGTGTATGTGAAAAAGATTACACTGTCAACATCTTCTGACAGAACAACTCAAAATATCATCTAATTTGATTTAGTTAATGTAATTAACTTGGTTAAACTCTGTTACATTTGGTTCATAACTACAAAATATTTTTTAGTTTAAGGTAGAGGGATAAGTGAGTGTAATGAAGAGATTTTGGGGTTTGGGGGAATTATTTTTGATTACACTCAATTCTTGCAATATTATCTTGTAGTTGCAACATTATTTTTTCAGTTTTCTGAAACTGTCTTAAACTGCTGCTCATGTGGGTGCAACATGAGTGGACAATGTTGTACTCAAAACCTGGTTAATTGATTCCTTTGGCTATCTGTAACCCCTAAGGGTTCCAGAAAAAAGAACTTAAGTTTTGCAAGAGTCAAGGTGAATGGAGAATGTGAAAGCATAGATGCTTTTGTTATGTTTGAGAAATAATTTATCACACAAGTGACTCTACTTTCACTGCATTGCAACAGTGTGTCTTCTAGTCTGGTCTTGGGTAATTGTTACAGTGCATTCCAGAGGGATAATCACATAGACCTAGAAATCTATGTTTGTTGGTGTAGGATTAAGACAATGTGTTTGAAATTTCTCAGACAATTACTTAGTGACTTTTGTAATTAAATATTTCATATGAACAGCCTGTAAAACCTCTTCAAATTCACTGATGTTTCCTTCATCAAAGTAAAATCAAAATTCTATTTTAAAGGGAAATATTAAAACATTTTCCACTTTGATATCACATGATTTCAGGAAATGTCAGATAATACATAATAGATGAATATAGCAATTCAGCAGTTGATAATCTGATACTATTTGAAACATCTACCTTAAGCACAAGTTTCAAAGTAGCTGCTTTTTAATCAGTACCTGAAGGCCTTGAGAGAGAGAGTTGGTGCCTTTCTAATATTACAGTCTTTTGTTTCTTGTTTCATGTGTTTGCATTAAACCTTTTCATATCAAGAATATAAAGACTTAATTCTGTCTAAAATAATGCATAATTGCCAGTTGTCCATTCATGATTATAACAATAAAATACAGATAATATATCGTGTGCAATGCTGATATGACATTCTGTTGACTTGCCAAACTATTGTGTGCATCACTTTTTAAATCATAGATTCCCAGTTGAGGAAAATCCCAAGTTTTAGCTAACTTAGTTAATGTCAAATGCATACACTTAGCTTTTTTTCTTTACTG